CCATGTTTGGCATCCGGAAAAGCCGGTCCCTGGCTTTACACCCGAGCAGCAACGGGAAAGTGGAGCGCTTCATGAGGGTCATCACGGGGCACCTGGCCCGGATGGTCCGGGACGACCAAACCGACTGGGACGAGGTCGTGCCGCTCATCATGATGTCCTACCGGGCCATGACCCACAGCGCCACCAAGTACAGCCCAGCAGAAGTCATGTTCGGGCGCAACATCCTGCTGCCGGCCGACCTGAACCTTCCTCCCCCGCCGGACGCTGGCTACGAGGACGACGACCCGACACTGTACCCGGCGTGGCTGCGAGAGCGCCTCCGCTACATCCACGAGGAGGTTCGGCGCAACATGACGACGGCCCAGGCGCGGGCCAAGGAGCACTACGACGCGGCCGGCACGTTCAACCCGATCCGCGAAGGACAAGAAGTGTGGCTGTACGCCCCGCGACGCCGGGTCGGGCGCAACCCGAAGATGGAGTGTCCCTGGGAAGGGCCGTACCGCGTTGAACGCGCCCTGAACGACGTGACCATGGAGATCCGGCCCCTGTTCGAGACGGCGTCCCGGCGCAGACCGCGAAACAAGACCGTGCACGCGGACCGCCTGGCCCTGCGCCATGCCATCCCTGCGCTTTCCCGCCGACACGCCAGGCGCTGACAAAGCCTAGCCACCCTGCCTTGGTTGCCTAGCCACGGCTGTCCCACTCGCCGCCGGCACCCGCAGCGACATGGATCTCCGAGACGCCCTCGCCGGCCTGCGCCAGCGAAAGAGCAGGGAGTCTGCGCGGACCGGGACGACGAGGACGCGCGCCCATGCCGCGGTCCAGACCGCGCGCCAGCTGGGCGTGACCACGAGGACGACGCAGACTCCACGGTGGCCCCTGGAGAGTGAGCGCGCTGCCGTGAGCAGAGACGCGGCCTCGCAGACATCGCCGGCCAGAGAGCGGCAGCCCAGCGTGAGCCGCGATCGACGACGCCGCCCGCTTAGCCGCCAACTTCAAGGAGGTACCGCGCAACCCGGCCCTGCCATCGGGCCCCAGCGCCGGTGCCCACGAGGACGATCCGGAGCCCGCCGGACACCGAGCAGCCGCCAGGACGCGGGTGAGCGGAGCCGCTCGCGTCTGTTCCGCGGGCAGCAACAACAACAGCAGCAGCAGCGACCGCGGACGCCGGAACCTCGCGTCCGTTCGGTCATCGTGGGGCCGACGCCAGCGGCACCTGAGACGACGACGGTCCACGCCGCGCGGACGACCACGCCGAGAGAGCCGGACGACCCGGCGACGGCCCAGGCCGCGCCCCTCGGCGCTCACGCCGGCGTCGACGAAATCAACCAGTGGCTGCAGGAGTTCGCCGGCTGTGCCGGCCACCAGGCGGACGACGGGATGGACGTCCTGGAGCTGGGACTCTAACTTTCCAACGGAGGGGGAAGTGTTGGGTTCCTGGCTCCACGACGGGCCCCCGGCCCGACACCCTGCACGAGCCGAGCAGCCGGCCCGAACCCGCCGGCCACCCGAGCGCGGCCGAAGCCGGCGCCATTGTCGGGACCCGATAAATGGAGCTCCCCGGCGACCGCGGCCCCCAGAGCCCTGCCAGCCGCGCTACGAGTAGCACTGACTTGCATCCCCAATAAAAGCCCATCAGTCCAGTTGCCTATCTCGATCCCTGACTTGTCCCCTCTAACCCTCACCCACCACCCAGAGACACAACATTATGTACATCATTGAGTAAGACGCACTTTTACGAAGGGATCGCCGTTTTGCAATCGTAAATCGGTCAAAGACCCTCGAAACAGCATCGATTTTAGTAAACGAGTGCATTTTCATTTTTTCTTTAAAGTTCAGGTGCGTTGATGGACCCCTAAAAATGGTCCAAATCTAATCATATTTATATCAAAATTCATAATTTTTTACGTTTTTTCAGAATCTGGACGGCACTCCTCAAGTTTTAAAACTTTTAAAAAAAGTGGGCCACCCTATCCACCATACGCACTTTTCTAGACTTTTCCACACTGAGGAGCAATCCACGATTTAAATGTCGAACGGCTTCCTCCAGTGTATTGCAAGGAGCATACGCCAAGCGGTTTGCTGCATCCTTGTCTGCTAACCCTTTGACAAAAGCAGTCACAAGGGCTTCTTGTAAGTCTAGTTCCGTATGGGTACGTATGTACTCTCTTCCCACTCGTTCCACTTCTTGTGCAAATTCTTGTATTTTCTGCTCAGGTTGCTGCTGGAGAGTTTCGAACTCCCTCTCCCGTTCCCACAAGGACTTGACACTACTGAAGGTTTTTGTCAGTATGACGTCCAGGTTGTCAAAGTTGGCTTCCTTCTGCTGCTGGCCAAGCATTGTAAGGACCATCACCCTAGTAGCACAGATCAGTCGACAGATTGTCGGTCGACTGTCGGTGCCTCGACTTAAAATTGTCGATCGACTGTCGGCCCCGACGTTTCTCCGTCATCGAAATGGCTCAACTTCCGAGGTCGGACGACAGTCGGCGCCGATGATTTTTCGACATCGGAATCCGATGACACCTCGACATCACAAACCCAGTCAAATAGATTCCCCCCCCCCAAAAAAAAATAAATAAAAATAAAAAATTAAATGCTTGAGTGATGTCGATGATCCGAGTGTTCCGAATTTCTTAGAACCCGCTTTCCTCTCGCCGGAAGGACGCTTCAGCGCCCGCCGCCGGGAGGAGTTGAACCACGGTCCTGCAGCATCGTAGCGCGGACGCTTACCCCGAGACTACCGGACTTGTTGGGGACGAGGCACAGTGGTCGAATCACCCCGATTTTCTGGTCAGAAGGGTATTTTTTAAAGTAAAGATTTTGATATGTTCCAACGCTTTTCCGTTTAGGAAACACCCTATTCATTGTCAATCCACGTGGGATAAGCTTTCAGAGTCATCGAGTCCACGTACAAAGAAAATCAAACACAGAACTTATACTGCAGCGTTTTTCATGGATGTATTTTGAAGCAAATTGACTATGGCCCCTACAGCCCTAGTGTAACCTTAAGACGCCTAAACTTTTCCTTCAGTTAGTTTGACTTGTTTTTTATGAAATGCCCCAGTGGGCATTGCTTTATGAGCTTTCCTTCGGTTGGTAAAGTCACGTTTTCGAAACATTCACAATTTTTACTTAATTTTATGCAAACACGGGAATCTACTTTAGAACATGATAAAACACGGTCGTCCCATTAGGTCAGAGGCCTTTCCCCAAGTGTCTTTTAAACAACCGCGTTGAGTTTTTCTGCTTCCGTTTGCAACTTTAGAATCTATGACCGAAAACATGGTCAGTGCAGTAGCTTTTCAGGCAAAATCGCTAAAAAGCGTGGATTATATTCCATAATTGGCTATGTCCGCTAGAATTTATGTTACTGTTGATGCTCTTGAGGGTCAATGAACACAAAACAAACCTCTTTTTTGGTGGAAAGGGGGTGGAAAATGGTGGAAAAATTGAAATGACTGTGAAATTATAGGTAACATTTAAAACACGCACCCCTCAACAGGAAAGCCCAAACCTTGCCGAAACCACACGAAGATGCTTTTCGATACTTAAAAAGATCTGTACAGACTCGCTGAACAAGTGGATGGCCCGTCCGAACCCAACAAAGTCTTTTGAAAGCTGAAAAACGGTCGACGGCTGTAGTGAGGACCTGTCGAAGCCGAAATGTAAACTGCATCCAGTAGAGCAGTTCAGAGGCTAAAAATCTGAACCGGCTATGCTGGATTCAGATTCAGAGAACCCCTTATCGTAAATGCCGCTGCAAAGGGGGAACTTTACACTTGTTTTCAAAATGTTAACCCCCCTTTCGGAACGCAAACCGCCCCTGGACCAAAAATTTTCTGCCTTTTTTTTTCAAAATTGAATCCAGCGACCTAAAAACTTGATATGCTGAAGAAAAAACGACGCTTCCTGCACTGGATAATAACTTAATTACTTATGACCAGAAAATCGGGGTGATTCGACCACTGTGCGAGGGCTGCACGGCTCCGAGCACCTGCCTCGAGCGCGCCGCAGCGAGCTGCTGGCGCGCAGGGGTGGGGGTAGCGGCTCTCTACGTGCGGCTGCTGCGCGCGGTGGAGGGGGTACGGAGCCGCACCAACGCAAGCCACGCCAACATCGGGACTTAGAATTTTCACGCGTCTTTGGAGCGCTTGCACCGTAGCGCCGGCGGCTTGTGAGGATTCCACAACTTTTTGTTTTACGCTGGGCGGACAGGCTTCACCATCTGCCCTACGTGGCGCGGACCACTCACGAAGTCCCCGAGAAGCGTCCGAGTACCCCCGTCCCTTAGAACGGAGAGTATAATCAACTCCCTCGCTCCCTAGCGCAGCGGTTCTCGACTTTGGAGTCGCGAAAAAAATTGTGGTGTCGCGGCGATGTAGCTGGGGTCGCGGCGGTTTCCCGGCTGGCCTACAGGCCGAGCAGTGCCGGGAACATCAATTCGCGGAAACTGGAAAACCCACTGCCTGTTTGTCGCTGCACGGATGTTTGAAGGTCTGCCAGCGCCGTGAGCAAGCGGGAAAACCCTTCTTGGAAGTGTAGGTAGGGGACGGGGATCAACTCTTTTGAGGTAAGGACTCCTCCTCCACGACCACGGCCGGTCGCCACCGATTCGTTATCGCTTGGTTGTAGGAAGTGCGATGGTCGGAGTTTCCTGAGATTTTCCGTATCGTGACAACATCAAGTTCGACAGCTTCTCGACAACGGCCAGTTGCCATCGAGTCGTTATCGTAGGGTTGTCGGGAGCGCGATAGTCGAAATTTTCACATCGCACTGGCATCGGTCTCGATAATTCCTCGACAACGGCCGTTCGTCTTCGACCGACTATCGCAGCGTTGTCGAGAGCGCGTTATCGGCCGGCCGATAGAATGGCGACATCGAGTCACCAAATGTCGACCGAGCGACAGTGCGACGACAGTAGCTCGACAAGCGAAATTACGTTATCGGCTATCGACGTGCCGATACAATTTCGACTGTCGATCGACAAGTCTGTGTTACTAGGGCAGGGCTCTTCCTCGAAGGGCTCCAAGCAACCGACTACCTTGTTCTTCTCTGGTCAATCCTGATGTCAAGGCCACAAACTGTGCTCGGAACATGGTATAGCACAAAGTTCCATCATACTCTGGGACTCGAAATGCTTGAGGATTTTTAGCGGCCAGAAGTTGACCAACCAGCTGGACAAAAGGTTGAAAACCCTCTGGTAGTGTCCCACGAGCACCTTCTTCTTCCTCCTCTTCATCATCTTCATTCTCCTCCTCATCTTCTTCCTCTTCTTCCCGCAGATACGCTCTGGCTCCACGCTGCACGGTGCGTCCACGACCACGCACTGTGCGGCAAAATCGAAAAAAGGTGGCCAAAATTCATTTTTCCAAAGTTTTCTTTTAGCTTTTGGGACCTATGGTGGTCGAAGTACAGAGTCTTGGCTACGTATTACTGTGCAACTTAGCCCCCGACTGAGCGTGGGTTCCGAGATATGATGCTTCAAAATTACCGGTTCCGGCGCGACTCGTCATGGCGCGCCGACAGCGCGAATGCGTTGGCTGTTTCCAAGCGTCTCTTTCTTGTTGTGCAAGTGATATTTCTTTAAACCCCGACCATAAGGCGATAGCTCTAGCCTTCCTCTTTCGAACAGTACCCGTGGATTTATCATTTCGCTGATAGTTTATAAATATAATTGATTTTTCCTAGCCTCATAACCTTGTGAGACGCTTTAACCTATTAGCAGATTTTACATTGAGATACAAAACGATTGACAAACATTAACGTGCCGTGTGACATTGGAAATGAAAGTTTGGACTTTCCTCTTTGCAGTCGCGAATATTTTCCTATCCCGTTTTGTCCCGTTTTTTGGCAGAACGCTTTTGTTTGTACAGCAATTTGACCGGCTCGTCATTATTTTCAGCCTTGTGGACGAGTCGGTACTCATGTAACAATCAAAGCAGGGCCTGTCAAATGGGGTTCCCCTCTTGTTTAAAGAGTCAGTGAATCCGTTCGTCACGATAATTTTTAGAAAACAGGGGTGGAACCACGAAAAAAAGGGGGGGGTAAATTTTGAAAATTGTTCGAATTGCTTGGAATTTTGTATTCAGGGGTTTTGGGGGTCCCTGAATCCGTTTCTGGAATTCATTTTGACATTTCAAGAAAAATTGAACTTAACCCCTTTTGAACGCCTTAATCCGCCCCTGGTGTCTAAGAATTAAGGTCGGAAATGGATTTGGAGACCTCCAAAACTCTTTTATATAAAATTTCATTCAGTTTGAATTTTTTTTAAATTTACCCCCAATTATATTTCTGATTCCGCCCCTGGGGTATCAAAGTTAAGCTAAGAAATGGACGCAGTGCCCTCGAAAACATACGAGGGTGAAAAATCGTCGTCGTACGTTTGACAGGAGCAGTGTAAGGAATTATGTCCACCTTTTTCGAAATCGGCCGCACTGTGCCACGTCCACGCGTAGTCCCTCGAGAACCACGGGGACGGCCGCGACCACGACCTCGAAAGGGCTTCGTCGATTTATCCACGACGTCAAAGCCACGGAAGTCTTCGTCTGTGGGAACCATGGAGACGGTAGCATCCGGCTTTTGAGATGGATTCTCCGCACTCTCAATGATGACAGATTCGCCTCCAGACGCCGACGTTGACGCAATGTTCCACGGGTTTGAACGTTGACACGACATTTTTCTCTTTTTCTTGTCTCTTGTTTTACCCTTATTCCTGAAACTCACCACTCGCTCTCACCTGGGTGCACAGTAACCAAACCAGCTTCTTCCCCTATGGGAGCACAATTCGGCTACAGGCGTTCCTCCCTGGTATCTACTTGACTTCAAGGCGCTCAAAGATCGCAAGATTCTTCCCGTGAGGGAGCACAACGATCCCACCCGGGTAAAATATTTCCTCCGCCTCGCATGCGCGGCGGTTCCAGCTCGCTGGAAGTGAAACCAGCGCGGCGACGTTCAACAGGACTTCATGATGCAAGTTCGGCGACCCCGAAGCGCATCCGTGTGCTGTCCCCGTCGTAATGCCGAGGGGCGGTATGCGGGCAGCGGCCGCCGTGACGAACCGCCGTGAGCATGGAAGGCGGAACTGTGGCCGCGCCGCGCTCCTGAACCGCCAGCCTACGTGAATAGCACCTTCGGCGACCCAGCGCTGGCACCGCGCGCCGCCTCTGTGCGCTTGGCGGCTGCCGGGCGCGGCGCAGGAGCGCGTGCCCGTTCCGCGTCGTGTCCGCCGCGCGGAGGTGGAGCGCCCGTGCCTGCGCGCTTCGGATGAGGAAGCAAGGCGCGGGGACGCACCTGACGTTGCGCGCGTGTTGCTGGGCAGCTGGGCCTCCTGCAGGCCCTGCAAAGGCGCGCACCACTGTCTGCACGGGTCACCGAGGCGGCCCCGCAGCGTCTCGGGTCCTTTCGTCCCGGACGGCCTGCGCCTCGCTCAGTCTCATGTCCCGTCGCCTAGCTCCCTCCCGGGGCCGGCCGCCCAGCGTCCCTGCAGCGCCTTGGCGTCGGTTATTCCCATGTGAAGTTGCGTCGCGACCCGCTGGCTCGCCTGCGTCCCCTATTCAGCTCGAAGGTCGCTACGCGGCTTGCAGCCGCCCGTCGCTCCGCGACTCCGCGAGCACTACGCCCCCATACCCCGGCGCCCTGCGCCACGCTACCCCAGCTCTATGGGTGCCTGGCTGGTTCCGCCCGAAAGGAGATGACCGGAAGGAAGCAATGTGGTTGGTTGTTATGATAATTTTTATTGTAATTTTAATCACTTAAACACTGTAACACACTCACATTTATCACACCGCGCGCGCACCACACATCTAGCAATTCACTGGGCGAGTCATAAGATTAGAACAGAACACAAACATATCCTATAAGTAGCAGCGCTCCCCTGCTTGCTGCGTGGCTGGCTGCAGGGGCGCGCGCTGCACGGCGCCTGCCACCTAGGCAACCACAAGCAATGCAATGTCTTTGGTGTTGCCTACGCGCCGGGCGCTGTGGCGGCACCATCGCCACCAAATACACACCAAGGGCATGGACCACACACAGTTAGCAATTCAGTGATACTCAACTTATTAACATAGATACATATTAATACGAAATTAATTAACATAGATACACATTAATGCCAAATTAATTACCATAGGTACATTGCTTTACAAAAGCCCTACACTCGCACACAGTCCCTAATATAATGTCACATCTGATTCTGGGATATCACTGTGGAAAACGAATTTGTTTCAGTCTCGAGTGAAAACCCATCACTTTCTTCCCCCCCCCCAATGGTCAGCATGCCGTCTGAAAGTACCGATGGTGGATGACCGCTGAACTGTGAGTTCAGAGAGGTAGGGAAGCGGGGGTTCGAGAACAGCCCCGGCCTGGCCTGCGGTCCTGATATGTGGGGAGTGATTCGTGGTGCAGGTGGACGGAACTGCGGCAACGAGCTCTGCCCCGCCGCAGCGTTGGAGTTCATGGCGGTGGACGATCCCCATGTGCGTGGCGCAGGAGGCGATTGACCATGCGAGAACGAGGACAACGGCGCAGCGCCCGCGGACGGTCCCCGTGGTGTTGCAGTGTTGAACCTAGCAGAGTTGAACGAGGGGCGTACCGGGCGGCCCTGCGAGGACGGGGGCCCCGGCGTAGCGGAGTGCCAGGCAGGTCTGGGGCCCGGCACCGGTGACGGCGCATTCTGGAGTGGCGTCGTCGGCGAAGCCTCAGTGTCGCCCAGCAGCGTCGCCATAAGCTGAGACCTCACGGCAGCCGGGTCGGTGGTGGTCTTCTCCTTGGTGGCGCAGGAGCCCCTGACGCGCCCCATGCCCTGGGACGTTTTCTGCTTGTCCCTGGTGTTGTAGAAGGCATTCTTGAGTTCTGATTCCGCCACCGACTCGCCGACCTTCGCGTTCACGTCGTAGCCCCTCATGTGGACCAGCACTTCACATGTTATTTTGAAAAATTGGGGGAAGCAGTCCCGCACGCTGATCTTATTGGCATGGCTTTTGGGTTCACCGTTGGCATCTGAAACAAAGACAACAAACACGGTCAGAAGGGTTGGTAATTGGCAAAAATTGGTCTCATCCATTGGAGGTCCAGAAAAGCGGGGTCAACTCACCTATGATCACGTTGACACCTTCAGCGATGTCGTTGGGCGTGAATATTGTCCCAGAGTAATTCATCTGGCGCTGCACCTGCAGGTCGAAGACCCAATTCACCAGGCGCACGGCAGCCTCCCTCACGGTTTTGCCGGTTTTGAAGGCAGCCTCCTCCCGGTACGCGGCCTCCACCTCGGGCCGCTCCAACAGCTTTTCCAGCAACATGGCCTGCCGCATCGTCTTGGCCGCGGGTGCGAATCCCAAAAGTGAGGCCAACCTGCTGGGCACTCTTGTTGTGGTGGAGAGAAGGGACCCGCCGCTACTCTGGACTCCATCTGAAATCAGCTTGACCAGGGCGTTGTGCGAGTTGACGAACTGGGTCTCCATGTTGCTAACACCCAGCACCAGGGCACCAAGTGTGGCCGCAACCCACGCGTTGACGTCTGCAACAGAGCAAGGGGAACACATGAATTTACAATTTTTAAGTGAAATAAAAGGGAATCGCGTGCAATCAACTGACCTGCCTGTGACGCGTGCCCCTTGAGCTCCGCCAAGCCGTTCATTTTCTTGTGAATCAGCTTGACCGCCGTCGCCTCCTTCATGTTGGCGGTCATGGCCGCAGGTGCCTGCCTGTGGCACTCCGGGCACCTCATAGTGCCCCCCCATGACGGCTCGTCCTCGCCACGTGGGCTCTCCCTGGGCGCGTGCGCGGGTGGCGGCGGCGGCCCCCCCGGCCCCTCAACCGGAGTAGCCGCCTGCATCGTGGTTATGGTGTTCCCGCGTCCAGTCGCAACCACGGCCCCCGACTGCGCCACCGTGGACCCACCACAAACGAAGTTGACGTTGACCGGCCCCATGCCGTTATTTCCCTGTAGACAGCTTGAGCCCGCCGCCCCGCTGCCATCATCCTCGTCATCTTCCTCGTCCTCGTCCTCGTCGTCGCTGCCAGAAGAGCTGCTGCTAGTACTATCGGCGTCCGAACTGACATGTGTGTTGTCGGAGGTTCCGGCTTTCAGCTCACCTTCGGCCGTCGAGTAATTTACTGGAAACAAACAAAAAACAGTTGCAGGCAATACGGCACCGGCGCTCTCTGTAAAGGTGCGAGAGAGACAGATCGACACCGAGCCTGTCGGGGACCGCCGAGGAGCTTTGGCCGAGTGGCCGAAGGTCCTCGGCAGGCAACCCGTCGCACCGGCGGACGCACTCACCAAAGGGGCCCGAGTGAAGCACCACCGTCCACTCAGTCCACGTGACTTCCTTGTCTTCCGTCTGTTCGCCGACGTCCAAATTTAGGCAGAAATGCCGGTACAATCCGATCTCTTGTATGCTCCCCACTTCGACGCTGGGCGAAATGGGTACCTTCGCGACGACCTCCGCGCCGCAACTCAGTCCCTCTTGTGGTAAAATGGTGATGTACCGCTCCGGCAGGACAAACTTGAGGTCGTCACCATGCTCTTGCTTGCAGGTCACAAGCCAACAAGTCCGACTGCAAAGAAACAGAGAAAAATGTCATTGAGGAAACGCGATACACGCGCGGACACTAACAATGCGCGTGGCAGAAGTGGGGGGGGGTACCTAATGTTGCACTGGCTGATGACCGTGCAGAAGTTCTATGGCCACGGTTCCCTTGCGGTGGGGGAAGGCTGCGAGCTTGCACACCACCTCGTGCAGCTCTACGATTCGTAAGGCCTGAGACAGTTGGTATTCGTGGCAGAGCCGGTATATACCCAACTTTGTCGACTCCATGGGGTTCTTGAAAAGATTTTTGGGTGGCCCATAGAAGCGGCACGCCAGTCGGACTGTGCCATCGTGCAAAAGGAGAATGGCCCGGACTCGAGCCACTTCGCCACTCTCCAGCTTGACATGGCAATCTCCTGCAGTCATCGCCACCTCGTGAACGTCCCACTTGACGGACATCACCTCGGCCTCCGCGTCGATGGACGTAACGCGCTTCTTGCACACCTTCCCTATGACGACGCCGGGCTCAGGCTCTTTCCACGCGTACCGCCCCGTGACCTCAGTGTTGCGCCTCTCTAGAAGGCGCTTCCACACTTGGCGCACCGGGTGCTTCGGCCCTCGCACGCACGCCCCTATAGGCCCCATGTTGTTCTCGAACGGCCATGCAGCGAACGAGTCAAGAGGTCCCAACCTAATCACTTCGTCGACCAGGTGGACGAGGCAGTGAGTGACGTAAACAACAAAGTCGCGTCCAAACGTCTCCGCACCCCTAGTCACGAAATAACGTATAAACTTCCTGGCTTTGTCTAGCATAGCTTTGTCTTTGCTGTAGACAGGGCTGCAGAGAATGCGACACGCGCAGTGCAGTCTCATCGCCATGCGCAGGGGCTTTTTTCCTACCCCGCTATCGGGCAGAAAAACGGGGACCACGTACAGCAAGAAAGTGCGGCACTGGGTGGCCTTCCAACCGCTGTAGTCCGAGAAGCATGAGACTGTCCTCTGAAACTCCGACGGCCAATGACGCTCCATTGCGCGTAGCGCACTGTCGAGCCTCGCCACGTCACTCGCAGCCATACCCCCGTCTTTGGCACGATTTCTCCTCTCCGCCACCCACACCTTCGTCTTCACCAGTTGGGTCTTCCCATTCACCTTCCTCTTAACTTCCTTCACCATCTGAGTGTACTTCACCACCCCCGTGTCCAGCCGCTCTGCCATTCGTTTTACAACTCCGAGAAAAACCACATGCATCGCATCAAGGGAAAAATCGTTTATGAGATTCAGAGGCAGCTCCTCCAAAATTGACGTCTTGATCTTTTTTGTTTTGGGGTCTGTGTGATGCCCCGGGTTCTCTTTAGAGCGGAACGAGGCGTCCGTCCGCAGTGGCGCGCTGTTTGCCGCACCCTCGTATAAGATGCGGCCGGCGAACGAAACTGCTACTCCCGTGCACTTTGGGCAACCCTCTTTGCCACTATGTGACAATGTTTGCTTCACGAATGCCATGGCGGGCGAGTCGCAGATGATCGTTCGGACCACGACGACGTAGCGCACTCCATCCACTTCCAAGCCGTCGGCTAATAGCACTTTAAGCTCGTCCACCGTGTCTCGCAGGTACTCATTGCCACTGGCAGGCTTGGAGCGTCCCCCATACAGGCCCGCCAAGACGGGCCGATTTCCGATTTCATGTACCACAACTTGGATTGGCCAGAGAGTAACGTGCGTGGTCATCCCGTATGGGTTAAGGCCATCAATATTAAAGACGAGAGACAGCTTCTCCGGCAAGGACATTCCCTCTCGAAGCGCTGCCCTCACGACGGCTGACACGACTTTACTCAGACCAAAATGAACGTACTCCCCGGGAGGCATCTGCTTGACAGGCGCAACCCCCTCATTTGAGGTGCCGTACAGAGCCGCGCACGACTTGGGGAGGCCGCTGTTCGGCACGTACCGCCGTAAACCTGCGAGCAGTTTATTGGTACTCGTGGAGGTCATGTTTTCATCCAGGGTAAAGTCACGAATGAACTCGCGAAGGGTAAGTGGCCATTTCTCCAAGTTTGCCTTTGGCACTGCACGGATATTCGAGTAGCGGCCCTTGTCGTCCGGCAGAGGGGGAGGGCTGTCCGGTCGTGGCGGGGTGCACGGTGCACATGGCGCCGGGCCTGGTGAAGGTGGTGGGCCGGGAGGGTCCGTCCCCGTCGGAGTCGGCTCCGTTGGCGGAACGCCCCAAAAAACCTGCCCGCCCCAAGGGCCGTCCGGTTCAATGTCTTCCCACTCGAACTCTTCCACGGCTTGCGGACGCCGATCAGGAAGACGCCGATTGATGTCCAAGAACAACAGCTGCGCTCGACGCGCACCCTGCCGCCTGCACGGTGGCAACGACCCCGTGGACCGACGCATGTTGCATCCGGTCAGAACGTTTCCTGCCAACACGTGAGAAGCGACGCCGCGTCATGTTTGTGACGTTAGTCGCATGCAGGGCGGGGCGGGCGGGCCGAGCACAGTGGGCCAGAAGACCGGTGGAGTCAGTCAAAAATCTAGACGCGTTTTCAGCTCCAGAGTCGCTAAATGTGACTCGAACCGAACGTGTGACCCCACCAAAAGATTCCTCAGTCGCAGAGCAATCCATTGGTGGGGTCACACGTTCGGTTCGAGTCCAATTCAGCGACTCTGGAGCTCAAAACGCGTCTAGAGTTTTGGCCGCCTCCACCGGTCTTCTGGCCCACTGTGCCGGGGCGGGCCGGGCCGGGGCGGGCTGGGCCAGGCGGGCCGAGCACAGTGGGGCAGAAGATTGGTGAAGTCGGTCAAAAATCTACACGCGTTTTCAGCTCCAGACTCGCTAGCCAGGACTCGAACAGAGCGTGTGACCCCTCCAATGGATTCCTCGTTCAAAGAGCAATCCATTGGTGGGGTCACACGTTCGGTTCGAGTCCCATTCAGCGACTCTGGAGCTCAAAACGCGTCTAGAGTTTTGGCCGCCTCCACCGGTCTTCTGGCCCACTGTGCCGGGGCGGGCCGGGCCGGGGCGGGCTGGGCCAGGCGGGCCGAGCACAGTGGGACAGAAGATTGGTGGAGTCGGTCAAAAATCTAGACGTATTTTCAGCTCCAGACTCGCTAGCCAGGACTCGAACAGAGCGTGTGACCCCACCAATGGATTCCTCGTTCAAACAGCAATCCATTGGTGGGGTCACACGTTCGGTTCGAGTCCCATTCAGCGACTCTGGAGCTCAAAACGCGTCTAGAGTTTTGGCCGCCTCCACCGGTCTTCTGGCCCACTGTGCCGGGGCGGGCCGGGCCGGGGGGGGCTGGGCCAGGCGGGCCGAGCACAGTGGGACAGAAGATTGGTGGAGTCGGTCAAAAATCTAGACGTTTTTTTCAGCTCCAGACTCGCTAGCCAGGACTCGAACAGAGCGTGTGACCCCACCAATGGATTCCTCGTTCAAAAGCAATCCATTGGTGGGGTCACACGTTCGGTTCGAGTCCCATTCAGCGACTCTGGAGCTCAAAACGCGTCTAGAGTTTTGGCCGCCTCCACCGGTCTTCTGGCCCACTGTGCCGGGGCGGGCCGGGCCGGGGCGGGCTGGGCCAGGCGGGCCGAGCACAGTGGGACAGAAGATTGGTGGAGTCGGTCAAAAATCTAGACGTATTTTCAGCTCCAGACTCGCTAGCCAGGACTCGAACAGAGCGTGTGACCCCACCAATGGATTCCTCGTTCAAAGAGCAATCCATTGGTGGGGTCGCACGTTCGGTTCGAGTCCCATTCAGCGCGACTCTGGAGCTCAAAACGCGTCTAGAGTTTTGGCCGCCTCTACCGGTCTTCTGGCCCACAGTGCCGGGGCGGGCCGGGGCGGCGTGGGGCGGGGCGTGGCGGGGCGCGCTGTCGCGGCTGATCCGAACCGCTAGAGGCTGCAGAGGCCTAACAGCGTTGATGATGATGGCTTTCGGCGTGACAGCGCGCCCCGCCACGCCCCGCCCCACGCCGACCCGGCCCGCCCCGGCACAGTGGGCCAGAAGACCGGTGGAGGCGGCCAAAACTCTAGACGCGTTTTGAGCTCCAGAGTCGCTAAATGGGACTCGAACCGAACGTGTGACCCCCGCCCCGGCCCGCCCCGGCACAGTGGGCTGGAAGACCGGTGGAGGCGGCCAAAAATCTGGACGCGTTTTGTGCTCCAGAGTCGCAAAAAAAATGGGACTTGAACCCAACGCGTGCCGCGCTCTGGAAGCTCCACAGTCACTATATGAGGACTGCGCCCTTCGCGATGAGACAGCCGAGCGGCCGGCGCTCCGTTTCCATGGCACCCTTTACCAGATATTGATGGGATTTCGTGAGATTTCATCAGCTTTCGAAGGGATGTCACGAGAGTTCTAAGTACCAATCTAGCGCAAGATTTCGACCAATCAAGTGTACACAGGATTTTGCGCGTGGTTGCCCCCTCGTTCCATCGAGCGTTCTCAAGTCTCTTAAAAAGATGGGCCAGCAGGGCACAGGAACCGAGAATAATGAGAACTCCACCCCAAGGTGGACCGAGATCTGGGATTGGCTCACGGATCCGGTTCAAACTTTGTGGATTCAATAGGTACCACTATGACCTATCAACCCCAAAAGGAAAGTTGGCTAGCTCAAATAGAACCTGAGATATTTGCATTTTTCTAAATTTGACTAATTTAGCGTAAAAATGTCGCTTTCTGATTTTTTTTAATGGTAAAAGTTGTTCGCTTAGTTCTGGCTTGTGTTTCTTCTTTCTAGCCATAAAAATAGAAGAAAAATGGTGGTAGGCCAAGTTTTGTACGTTGCTTGGTTTGGCCTACTCGAGCAATTTTGTCGAATTTATCGAAACTCTTATACTCAAAACACTCCACCTTGGATGACCCTAGTACGTCTCATTTCACTTCTTTTACGCTAATAAACAATTGCTATATAGTCCCTAGCACCAACAACTCCTTATAAGCCAGAAAAATCAAAAACACAATTTTTCATCTTTCTACTTTAACCTATTTTGGGCGCTTTTGTCAAGATTAGGGCTTCTACATGATCTTGGGTGACAGGAAAGATCCTCCCTGCCCTCAATTTCGATAGTATCAACACAAACAGAGAGACCCAAACTCAAGGTGCACTAAAAATTTATAATGAAATTGTTTTGAGCAAGTTTTACAAGTTTACGAGGGGTGTGAGGAATTTAAATCGGAGGAAAATGTAATGCTTCAGCCAAAAGTGGATTTGTGGTTCATTAGTTTGCTTTCTCTAGTGGGATTGGTGCTCTTGTAACCATGAGAATGTTCCTCCTTGATAATCAGTGTTAAAACTCTCATTAGGTATGGGGTTGTTGGACTTACGATTTCAACACATTAACAAAGTAATGATCCATTTGCTTCGGTTGTTTGCAACGTGTAAGCTGAACCCCATAGTCTTAAGTCATCCAGTTGGTCCCAAAAATTTAAAAGCCAAATGGAACCAGGTTCAGTTATTGAGACTAAGCGGTTGAACTTGCACGTTGCAAACAACCAAAATAAATGGATCATTACTTTGTTAATGCGTTGAAATCGTAAGTCCAACAACACCATACCAAAACAGGGTTTTAACAGTGATTATCAAGGAGAAACATTCTCAGGGTTAAAAGGGCACCAAACCTACTAGAGAAAGCTAACTAATGAACAACAAATCCACTTTTGGCTGAAGCATTACATTTTCCTCCGATTTAAATTCCTCACACCCCTCGTAAACTTGCAAAACTTGCTCGAAACAATTTCCTTATAAATTTGTAGTGCACCTTGAGTTTGGGTCTCTTTGTTTGTGTTGGTACTATCTAAATTGAGGGCAGGGAGGATCTTTCCTGTCAGCCAAGATCATGTAGAAACCCTAATCTTGACAAAAGCGCCCAAAATAGGTTAAAGTAGAAAGTTGAAAAATTGTGTTTTTGATTTTTCTGGCTAATATGGAATTGTTGGTGCAAGGGACTATATAGCAATTGTTTATTAGCATAAAAGAAGTGAAATAAGACGTACCAGGGTTAAATCCAAGGTGGAGTGTTTTGGGTATGAAAGTTTCGATAAATTCGACAAAATTGCTCGAGTAGGCCAAACCAAGCAACGTACAAAACTTGGCCTACCACCATTTTCTTATATTTTTATGACTAGAAAGAAGAAACACAAGCCAGAACTAAGCGAACAACTTTTACCATTAAAAAAAATCTGAAAGCGACATTTTTACGCTAAATTTGTCAAATTTAGAAAAATGCAAATATCTCAGGTTCTATTTGAGCTAGCCAACTTTCCTTTTAGGGTTGATAGGTCATAGTGGTACCTATTGAATCCACAAAGTTTGAACCGGATCCGTGAGCCAATCCCAGATCTCGGTCCACCTTGGGGTGGAGTTACTCTACTACACACAGTGGGCCAGAAGACCGGTGGAGGCGGCCAAAACTCTAGGCGCGTTTTGAGCTCCAGCGTCGCCAAATGGGACTCGAACTGAACGTGTGACCCTCACCACTGGATTGCTCTCCGAACGAGAAATCCATTGGTGGGGTCACACGGTCGGTTCGAGTCCCACTTAGCGACTCTGGAGCTCAAAACGCGTCAAGAGTTTTGGCCGCCTCCACCGATCTTCCAGCCTACTGTGCTACACCAACATAGAGCTTACAAGCCGGCAGGCAACAAGTGTGCACGTTGCGTCGTACTTACTATTGGGGTCCCCGGCGGCGGCCAAGTCTGCCCTCGGGTCCTGTTTGGTCGGCTTTCGGCCGCTTGGCGCGTTTCTTCTTCAATAGCGAGGAGTCAGTGCCCTTCCGTTTCACCATCGTCCCAGACTCTGCGGCGTTAGGAGTACACCGGGGAGACTTGATGCAGCTTTCCCCTGTGGAAAGATGAACAATGAACAGCACACTTTTGAAAGCTTCCCAAGAAAAGTACTTCGCAGTACGAAGTAGTCTCCAGCTTCGGATGACGAAGACCCTTGCTAACAGTTTTCTTCGCATTGCAAAGACATAGTTCGAAAATTGCAAAGAAAACAGTTTGTAAGAGATTTTGCAATACAATGCCGCAGAATACTTCGCAAGGTTTGTTGAGTGTAGCAGAGCGAAGCTCTCCAACAAAAAAGTAAGTGGCATGCAACATCTAACGTGGAATCAGAGTAATGAGAATGTGCGTGGCATCACGCACCAAAGTGAACCCCAAAATTCTGTTCAACGTACCTTGTGCGGATGTGGTCGTCGAGTTTGTCCTCTTCACCGTCACTCGTACTGTTATGTCGATGTCACTGTACGCGCTGCAGTAGCACTGGGGCACGGCTGGGCAAGGGGCACCGGGCGCGGGGCGCGTGCTTATACCGGTGTGACTGTTCGTCGAGGTTGCCTGCACTTGGCCAGGGCTGCGGCTGGGGCTGCACTGACGACGCTGCCGCCGCCTGGACCCGAGCCCCAGCGGAGACCCGACGACGAGGAGACTTGCGGTAGGGGTTGGCTTTCCCCCCACCCCACCCTCCCCCAACGCGCCCGGGGCCTCGACAACCCCACGCCTAGCCGCGCGCCGAGTGAGCCTAGAGCTGGGCCCAGAAGGCGAGGGGCGAGGAGGGGCGGGGTAGGGGGCTCCTCGTGGTCCTCGTGGTCCCGATTCGGGTGCCTTCGGGGCGCATTCGGCGCGAGCTTCGGTTTCCTCCGCAGCACGGGGACAGCGGTCCGAGTGCCGTCTCACTCCTGGGACTTTCCGTTTAGGTGCGAGAGAGAGAGACGTACATGCAGGCACCGGCCCCTCGGCGCGGCCCGCAGACTCACCACTCGCTCCTCCAAAGCTAAATTATTGGAAATATGTTCAATTAAAATATTGCATGACAACGGGGTTCAAACTGCACTTAGTTCGGAATCGCATTGAATTTTAATGACAGAATGGGCACTTCGCTATGGAACATTTGTGCACAATCGTTCGAAAGGTATGCCGCTAGGGGCGCCTCGGGGCGCCACTGGGAATGACGCCACCAGCATACCAGAGACCGTCATACCAGAAAATAGTAAAATAAATTGTAGTACGCTGTTCTTTTCTGTACTGGTTTCCGAGCCGCAGCGACTGTTGTTTTCATAGATCGTCGCGGACGCGATAGGATGCCAAATAACTAGAAAAGAACGCTGAACAAATAATAGCACTTGCACATTTTGCCAAAAGCGGTTCCTTCTGCCAAAAAGGTACGGAAAATTATGTTATTTTTTTTGCCAGGCAGTGGCGGATCCAGAGGCGGCCAAAACCCCATTGCCCCCCCCCCCCCTCTGTATCTGCGCCTGTTGCCAGGATTCTCCGAAGGCTCTTACAGTATTTTCCGTAGGGCCGCAGTCTTCTCCGTACGACCTGGAAGACTGTATAGTCCTACGGAAATCACTGTGCGGTCCTACGGAAAATACTGTAAGCGCCAACGGAGAATATTGACAAGGGGGCTACGGAGAATTACCACAAGCTGTTTACAGAATTTTCCGTAGCTTTTTGCCGCAGTGTAGAGTTTTCTGGCCCACTGTGTAGGCCCGGCTGGTCCTGGACATTTAGCTCACACACACACACGCACTCACTCACTCACTCACTCGTCGGTACTGTACGAGAGCACTCACGTCATTTTCATGGGGCTCTCAGCCTCGGTACTGATGTGTCCTGAGGTCGGACTCGAACTGCGCGTAGCGTTGAAACTCAACTAACGATAGCGCGCCGCAGGCCACACGCACTCTCTCTCTCTCTCACACTTGCTCCGACCATTACGCGACGTCGTCTCTCTCCCGCCCCCCTCCTCCTACGTCGCGAGGCGCGTCGGCCGGCGCCGCTAAACCAACCAGGGGCAGGCGCGACGCCCCTCACCTCACCTGCCCGAACTGGTGCAGCCCGGGGGCCCACCGTGTTTTGTCGGACGTTGACTCGGAGCCAGCAACCGTTCTGTCTCTCTCGCACCCATGCGGGACGCCCCGTGAGTGCCAGAGAGACAGAGCAATCTTTAGCTCCGTCCACGCCGAAGCTAGTGTCATTGGCAGCATCGCACCATGGGACGAACACGCAGGTATACGCTGAGCCACGGGGCTGCATGGAGTGGGAGGGAGATGGGGCGCTGGAGGTGTGCAGAGAGAGAGAGACAGGTACAGCATCTCGACGCCCGCACTGCAGGAAGAAATGCTGCCGAAAGTCCGCACACTGGCCACGGCGGGAAAACGCGACGGCCACAGCCGTGACTTCGCGGGGTCGGAGGGGGCTTTCCCAGAACAATCAGAGTCCCTGTAGCGACTCTGGAGCTCAAAACGCGTCTCGAAATTTTGCCGCCTTCCTAGCAGTTTCCCAGGAAGCTGCCCAGGTCGCGAAGGATGGGAGGACGACAGCGGACGACGCTGTGGTGGCGGCGCACACGCGGCCGCCCCACCCCGCCCCACCCCGCCCCGCCCCGCCACAGCCGGGCCGGCCCCGCCACAGCCAAGCCGACGGCTTTGGGAATTTTTCGCACTCCTAGGCTGGCCGGCTGCGGCCGGCTTCGGCCGGCTCCAAGCGCGCCCTCCCCACTGGTAAAACTAAAGCGTAGTATTACCCTCTGTTTTCAATCGTAATCAGGTTCCGTTTGAGATCAAGCATAACCGGCTCATCCACCAAGATTCCCCCTATCTAAATGCATAGGGGAATTGTCAGAGTATGCTTCATTTCAAGCGTAACGTTTTAAAGCGTAACTTTATGCTTGACTCAAGCATAGTTACGCTTCAGTTTTACCAGATGGCCCAGCCTTTAGCGGGCCCTGAAAGCCGGCTGACCCGGAGTCGGCAAGGACCGCGCAGGCCGGGCTACGTAGTGTCATTGGCAACATCGCACGCTACGGGGCTGCATGGAGTGGAAGGGAGATGGGACGCTGGAGGGGTGCAGAGAGAGAGAGACAGGTACAGCATCTTGACGCCCGCACTGCAGGAAGAAATGCTGCCGGAAGGGCCACTGCGGGAAAACGCGACGGCGCGCTCAAGTCAGGCCAGGCCGGCCAGGCCACTGCCGTGGCTCCGTGACTCCGCGGGGGCGGGCCGACGGAACGGGGGGGGGGGGGGGGGGACATCCCAGGGTAATCAGCAAGTGCCCTAGCGCGCCAGCAGGCTGTCTCCGTCGCAACCACGCGGCCCCGCGGCCCGCCTCTCGAGTGCGAGAGAGACAGAGACTTACGGGATGCAATGAGTGTCGGCCGGCCCGGGGATCCGATCCAGCATCGCGAGCGTGGACTGGTGCGGGGCGGGGCGGGGCAGCGTCGCCAACCGCACGGCAAGGGTAAGGGGCACTTGTCGGTCTGGTCGCGCCAGCCCGCCAGCAGGCTGTCTCCGTCTCACCCACGGGGTCCCGCGGAACGAATTGTTCTGAAATCCTGCCGCCAGCCGTCCGAAAGAGCCCCCGTCACCTCGGGCTGTCCCCAGAAGCGTCCAAATGCCTTCGGACGATTTCGTGGTTCCGCGAAGAGGCCGCTGTTCGGACGGGCCAGACCAATATTTGCCCGGGACTCGCTGGAAAGTCTGGGTCGGTCCGCCGGGAGTCCGGGGCAATGGAATTACCCAGAATACGTCCGAGGGTCTCCCCTCCGCACTGTTTTAGGAACTCTGGACCGTTTCCCCCTCGCTTCGTGACTTACATTAGACAAATTTTCCTGTAGCGCAACTAGAGTTGAGGTGTGTCGAGGTGTGTTCGATCTCAAATTGCTGCCGAAAGTCCGCACACTGGCCACGGCGGGAAAACGCGACGGCCACAGCCGTGACTTCGCGGGGTCGGAGGGGGCTTTCCCAGAACAATCAGAGTCCCTGTAGCGACTCTGGAGCTCAAAACGCGTCTCGAAATTTTGCCGCCTTCCTAGCAGTTTCCCAGGGAAACTGCCCAG